GTACATTCGCTCTCGCGCAACCGTTTCCCAATTCGTTATGCGCAGCTGATGAGTTCTGATTGATGCGCTTCTTGCGCCAATCGCCAGGAAGGCCTGGTTGATCGAACATATATCTGACTGTATTGGAGAAAAATTTTCAACCTGCGTGTTCCGATACCTTTAGAAACCGATCATCCATAGCCTGATGGATGCTTACCTTCATTGTCGGCTCTACCTTTGCCTTTCGTAGGCCTGGGGACATGCGAGTCGGATATGTCGAGTTTATTTGTGCCGCGTTGGTCGGAAACGGGCAGAGAAGTCTCATCTTCTTGATCTGTAACATCACTCTCAACTGTAAAATAGTCACATTGGACTTTAGCTTGTATGACCATGCTTGCTACACAAAGCAGAGTAAGATATCTTACTTGCAGGTGATGGTTTGTGTCCTTGTCTCTTCTGATAATGACTTTGATCAGAGCCTTGATCCCTTTGTACGTGGCCAGTCCGAGATACAGACCCACGATCAAAGTCTAGAGAGGTTCAAAAATTCACATTTCACGATTAGCCCGGTTGACAATGCTGCGAAGTAGAGTGTGTTCTATTAGGCTGATGAATGCTTACCTGCATTTTCGGCTCTACCTTTGCCTTTCGTAGGCCTGGGGACATGAGAGTCTGCTAAATCGAGTTTATTTGTGCCGCGTTGGTCGGAAACGGGCAGATAAGTCTCATCTTCTTGATCTGTAACATCACTCTCGACTGTAAAATAGTCCCATTGGACATCAGCTCGTATGACCATGCTTGCTACACAAAGCAGAGTAAAATATCTTACTTATCGGCGATAATTTGTGTCCTTGTCTCTTCTCATAATGACTTTGATCAGAGCCTTGATCCCTTTGTACGCGGCCAGTCCGAGGTCCAGACCCACGATCAAAGTCTAGAGGGGTTCAAACAGGAGTTCATATCAGTGGAAAGCGATCCATTATAAATTCATCAGAGCTTTCCGCAGGAAAAAAAACATACCCTCAAGATCACCTTTGGTTTCTCGAAACTTCTTTTCGAAGGTGTGAGTTTGATCTGGACAGTCTAAATACACGTCCTCCCGTGGACGTTTGTACAATTCAACATGCGCAGCTGATAACCCGGACTCGTTATGAGTGACGCGCTTCTTGCGCCAATCACCAGAAAAGCCTGCTTGATCACACATTGAACTCTCTGTTTTCAAAGAGAATGGTCATCCTATTTGCACACTCATCAGAAGCCTTAGCTGACTTACGGATATGCATTTGTTCGCTTTTCTTTTGCTGATTGACCGGCATGGTCTGAGTGTCGAACTCTGTTTCATCAAGCAAAGAGCGGACCGCAAGTCAGAAATAACAATACATAGTCAACCAATGTACTATCTGATGAAGAGCGGATAATTCACCTTCTTTTGCTTGATATTCCAGGGGTTGGACGTCGGTAGGAGTCCCTGATCCTTTGTGGCGAGATCAATACCTTAGTTTCGTGCCAGTCTGTAATCGTCATTAGATTGGAAAGCAGACTTTGACATACCTTCATACCCACTGCAATGACTAGAGTCACGTGAGCGTTTGTGATGAAGTGGAGTCCGGGTGGAGTTTCTTTCACGGTTTTCTGCATCGCCTGTGCGTTTGTGTTGATCACTACACGAGACATCAAGTCGCTGAAATTCGTCCTTGTTGTTTCCACGGCTGGAGTGAGCAGGGACTTCAAAGTTCGTCACAAGTTAGACCTCTCACAACCGTCTAGCATATAATCTTGGCGCTGTCAACACGAAAAAACTTACCTCTGGTATCGTGCTTTTCATCTCGCAGCCGTTTCCTCAAACTGTCATCCACAAGGTCTGTACATTCGCTCTCGCGCAACCGTTTTCCCAATTCGTTATGCGCAGCTGATGAGTTCTGATTGATGCGCTTCTTGCGCCAATCGCCAGGAAGGCCTGGTTGATCGAACATATATCTGACTGTATTGGAGAAAAATTTTCAACCTGCGTGTTCCGATACCTTTAGAAACCGATCATCCATAGCCTGATGGATGCTTACCTTCATTGTCGGCTCTACCTTTGCCTTTCGTAGGCCTGGGGACATGCGAGTCGGATATGTCGAGTTTATTTGTGCCGCGTTGGTCGGAAACGGGCAGAGAAGTCTCATCTTCTTGATCTGTAACATCACTCTCAACTGTAAAATAGTCACATTGGACTTTAGCTTGTATGACCATGCTTGCTACACAAAGCAGAGTAAGATATCTTACTTGCAGGTGATGGTTTGTGTCCTTGTCTCTTCTGATAATGACTTTGATCAGAGCCTTGATCCCTTTGTACGTGGCCAGTCCGAGATACAGCCCCACGATCAAAGTCTAGAGAGGTTCAAAAATTCACATTTCACGATTAGCCCGGTTGACAATGCTGCGAAGTAGAGTGTGTTCTATTAGGCTGATGAATGCTTACCTGCATTTTCGGCTCTACCTTTGCCTTTCGTAGGCCTGGGGACATGAGAGTCTGCTAAATCGAGTTTATTTGTGCCGCGTTGGTCGGAAACGGGCAGAGAAGTCTCATCTTCTTGATCTGTAACATCACTCTCGACTGTAAAATAGTCCCATTGGACATCAGCTCGTATGACCATGCTTGCTACACAAAGCAGAGTAAAATATCTTACTTATCGGCGATAATTTGTGTCCTTGTCTCTTCTCATAATGACTTTGATCAGAGCCTTGATCCCTTTGTACGCGGCCAGTCCGAGGTCCAGACCCACGATCAAAGTCTAGAGGGGTTCAAACAGGAGTTCATATCAGTGGAAAGCGATCCATTATAAATTCATCAGAGCTTTCCGCAGGAAAAAAAACATACCCTCAAGATCACCTTTGGTTTCTCGAAACTTCTTTTGAAAGGTGTGACTTTGATCTGGGAAGTCCAAGTCCACGTCCTCCCGTGGACGTTTGCCCAATTCGACATGCGCAGCTGATAACCCGGACTCGTTATGAGTGACGCGCTTCTTGCGCCAATCACCAGAAAAGCCTGCTTGATCAAACATTGAACTCTCTGTTTTCAAAGAGAATGGTCATCCTACTTGCAAACTCATCAGAAGCCTTAGCTGACTTACGGATATGCATTTGTTTGCTTTTCTGTTGCTGATTGACCGGCATGGTCTGAGTGTCAAACTCTGTTTCATCAAACAAAGAGCGGATTGTGAGTGAGAGACAAATCATCAATGCATACTCAAACAATGTGATATCTGAGGAAGACGAGATATCATACCATCTTCTGCTTGATATCCCAGATGTCGAAGCTCAGTAGGAGTACCTGGTTCTGTGTGTTAATATTGATACCTTAGTCCCGTGCTAGTCTGTCGTCCACTTTCGATCTGCAAGGGGACTATGACATACCTTCATACCGATCCTCATCAGGCAGACGACGTGTAGAGTAAAATCCGCGGGCTTTCAAATGTTCATTCACATCACAATCAGTATCTAGCATGACTTCTCGGTGCTAACAACAAAATATAACTTACCTGGTGGCCTGCTGTTTTCCTGTTGCTTGCTTTCATGTACATCGATTGGGACCACTGTATCGGTGTCACTGCCATGAAACTCGGATACTAGACCAGGTTGATCGTCTCCTTCTCCATTACCATATGGACAAATTCCATCGCTTTCTGTGACAAAATCAGAGGAGGAAGATGACGGTAAGTTGGACAAGTACGAAAGGTTGTCATAGCCAGGATGCATAATCAACCTTGTGAGTCATACAGATCCTCATTATAAACATAACCTTCACCCGGCACGTAATCGTCCTGACCAGGATCATACAGATCGTCCAGTGCACTCAATCCTGGGGGATGTTGGCCGTGCAGTTCTTTGATATCTTCGATATCAGGACTATAGTCGGAGCTGTTGCCACCTACACAAAATGGTCAAAGTAAGCATCGGAAACATTTAGCTTGAATTCTGAACATGAAGGGCGGAAGTAGAAAAAAGTGGAAGCTAGGCTAACGACTTAAGGCATCGTGATAAGACGAAGTTGATTCGAAAGACGCCGCCATGATAGAACAGCTGGTGTTAGAACAGTAATAGAATGTATGTAAGTTGATATGAGATGAAGACGACAGGTTTCAAGAGTTGCTAAAAACAAGATCAGAAGTGGATGAGATCAGCTGTCGGAGATAAAACTTGTTGACGGTTCGAGTGAAGCCAACAAGCTTAAAAGGTGCCTTTGATGGCCTACACAATGGGAAGAGTCGAAAAAGGATCAATCCCGTAGTTGGGGGTCGACAATTACATCCATAGCGCGTGGTTTATGTGTCATG